TTATAAATATTGATTCCAAAATAGTATATCCTAAAAAATATATCTACCTAAAACACAAAACAAAAGCCAAGAATATTAAGCATATTAAGCGCTAAAATAAGACCCATATATTATATTTAAATAATCTAAATTAGAAAGCAAAAAAACAAAAGAGAGCTGAATATACAGAAATCGAGTTCCTAAACCAAACCCGGTTTAAGCTCAGTACAATTTAAAGAGTATTAATTTTGAAGAAACATTTTCGGATTTATATTTGCAGCAATTTAAAATAATAATGTATTTAAGCATTTCATAATAGCTCAAACAAATGCTTAATAACTCTGAAGGTTTTCGAGAATACCTGAGGGAATGATGTTGCAGGTTTCTGGCGGAGGAAGAGTGGAAGAGAAAGAGAAAGAAATCAAAATAATTGCAAGCATTTTGCATGAAAATTGCATAATGCGCAATTAACGTCGAGTCATCGTTTTTAACTGCTTCGAAAAGAAATTCTCAATCGAAGGCTGAAGGTTGAACGAGTGGCAGTTATACATACATACATACATACATACAAATTGTATATTGCCAATAATTGTATTAGGAATATGCCGTTTCGAGGACAGTGGACAGTCGAAGTGAATGCCCGCCCAGATTGGGGTCGTGGGAGTTTCACTTTCACCCCCAGCAATGACCCATATCGAATGGTGGAGGCCGGAAATGCTTTGCTGCGTGAGTGCAACACCGTTTTGAGCTGGCTGCCCGTGCGTATGAGTAATTTGAATGAAATTACAAAGTCAGCGCGTTGCAGCGCTTAGCCTCCAAAAAAAAAAAAAAAAAACAGCCTACCACGCTAAGTAAATAGACATTGGATGAAAAAAAAAAAAAAAATGAAAACAGTAGCCAGTTGTATGATATATATGTATGTACATATATACATATATATGTTCGTCTGTTCCGATTTGAAACTAGTTTCGCTGCACATGTGCACATTAGAAGCGACATGCACTAAACAATGAAAAACCCATTTAAAAAACCCGCTAAAAAAAACTTTGTCAGCAACATAGCCAGCTGAATGTCAGCATCATTGTGGCTTGGCAACATTTGCTGCCGCAACATATCCAACTAGAATTCAAGGCATGGCTTGCAATTGACAAAACTGAATTATTAGCAACATTAAATAAAATTTAACTAACGTCATTTAGTTGAAATGCGTGCAATATATATGTACATATATGTATATTTAATTACATATAAACACAACTGCAAAATGTATAAACAATGTGTAAGCTGCGCTCAAACCAGCAAACAAAAACAAGTTTATTGAAGCACATGGCGACGAGCCCAGAGAGCGTCAAAGCCAGCGAAAGAGAGTATGACGACAACAGACAACAGAGAGAGAGAGAGAAAAAGAGTTGAAGTGAGCGCTAAGCATGAGCACACTGAACGCTGCCCTACAAACAAACACACTGCGCACAGTGAGTCACCTACGGATATTCAATGTGCTCCAAATAAGTAAATGCCAATGATCTATATTAAATTAGAGGTATATTGGTACTGGAAAATTAGCAAACTAATATTAATACAATTGTTCATTAGCTGGTTTGCTTTATTTAATGTTTTTAACAAACTGTATGAAAACTCTTGCGCTCCACTGTGCGACGACAATAAATAGCATAATTTACACAAGAGCGTCGACGGCGACAGCAGCGGCAGCAGCAACGTCAACGTCGGCAGCGCCGTCGGCGTCAACCAAAGATCGTATTCGTATTCGTTGGCGTTCGGATATTTTGTTGCTGTTTGTTTTTTTTTTTTTTTTTTCCTGAGGTTTGTCGCTGCTGCTTTCTGAGACGCATGCACGTTCGCTTCACGGTAGAAATTTTCGATCAGTTTAAGTTTTTCATTTGCAACGAACGCAAGCAAGTCGCTCCGAAGCGCGCGCCAAAAACAACGAAACAGTAAAGTGTCAGCAAACTCTTAATTTTTACAGAGCCCAATCAAGCGAAAAACGCGCGCGCTCAATTTTAGAAATAAAATAAAATATTTAGAAAACATACACACACACAACAAACCAATTTACCGTAAGCGGGATTACGTGCTAAATAAAGTAAAACTAAAAAGAAACAAAAAATTAAATACGAGTTTAAATGTGCAGCGGCATATATTGTAAATTGTTTAAAACAATTTAAAAAGTTAAATACCCCCAGCACACATTCCCATGTTTTATTAAATTGTTTAATTAGCTGGTTGCCTGTTAGCGAGTGTAAGTGTGCATGTGTGTGAGTGTGAGTGCCAAAGAGAGTGTGGTTTTGAACAACAGTAATAATGTTGCAGTTGCTGCTGCTGCTGTTGTTGCTTTTGCTGTTGTAATTGTCTGATATTTTGTCTGTGCTCATTTTGTGGTTAGTGTTTCGTTTGATTGGAAATGATCGCTGATGAAAAATCAAAATGCAGCTTGCCTCCATTTTAACTTGCATTTGCCGTTAGATCAGCATAGCATAGGCATAAAAAAAAATGAAATCAAAATTTACAGCGCTCTCAAATTCAATAATTATTTTAAAAAATTTAAATGGGTTTGTGTGTGTGTGTGTGTTTTAATTTTCCTAAAGTATTTCACATTGTAATTTGTTAAATAATTGAATTTTGCAGAGTGCTCAAGTTAAACGCTCTTTCACATGGTGCCCCAAGAGCAGTAGCAAGAAACGCATTAACAAAAAACTAAAAAAAAATACTAAAATAAAAAAAGATTAATTATATTAGACGCGTGCGTGTTTGTGCATACATTATAATCGTTTTTTAATGTTTTAACGCGAGTGGCATACAAAAGTGAAATGAATACCAGTTAGAAATGTGACTAAAACCACTTAACGAATTTATCCATACACAAAGTAAAGAAAAGAAAAGAAAGAATCAACAAAGGAAAACGCAAAGGAACCATACGAGAAGGAACCAACAACAGCTCAAGGCGAACAGCAGCAACAGCGATCGAGCTAAAAAGCAGGTGTGTGTTTGTGTGAGTGTGTCCGAGTGATGTAAGAAATATGGAAAAAAAGAGGAAAAAAATAGGAAGCAAAATTGATTGCACTGTGCAATCTGTGCATAGAAATGGGCAAAGAAACGCCGCTTGCCAAGTCGAGAGGCAGGTTTGCATTGCCTGCCTCACGCCCTCCTCACACTCTCACTCTCTTATTATGTTACACAAAAACTCTCTCTTCCTCTCTCATTTGATACGGTCTCTGTGTTAGGCGATGCAGCTTGTTGTCTAAAATTCTGTTCATATTCGTTTCCCTTTTGTGCCTCTCAACGGTTTTCCATATGTTCATTGCCCTTTTAGACTGTCACACTCTCTCTTTCTCTCTTTCACTTGTCTCGGCCTAACATATGCAGGCAAAAGTCTACAAGTGGAATTGTTATTGTCCTCTCATTTTTGGTGTTTACTGCATTACATTCACTTTTATATGTATTCACATTAGGCACTGTGCTAATCCAAGCTAACCAACAAAATTATTGCCATTATTCTCGGCATTTGCCTGCAGGTCAAGGCATTTGTAGGAACGCGGTTGTATGTCTTCGTTGTTGTTGTTATTTCTTATGAGCATGTAACTATATTTTTTTCTTCAGTTTTTTGCTTGTTATTTATTACAACTTGAGGCCAAAGCGCAGCGCAAAACAGCTGACCAAAAACAAAAGAAAAAACCAAAGCAAACCAAACTTTGCCAACAGCAATTTATGCGAGGGAAAAAATGAAGACCTACGCCTAATTTAAGGTCATCAGCACAATAAAATAAAACAACCCCAGTAGCAATAAAACAAAATACGAAAAAAAAGAAAAACAATAAAAAAGTTCAGCACGTAAGTTTCACTGTCTACTGTTTGTCGCTTCTGAGTTTGTCTAAAGGCCCTGTGATGCCATTTTTGTAGAGAAACAAACGGCAACGGTATTTCAAAGTAATGAACTAACACATACACACATATGTAGGCAAGTGTAATTTTATACATAAGTTTATACGTATGTATATATCTGCTTGCATATATATAAGCATTTACTTTTCATTGTATTAACTACCGTTGCTATCTGACTCTGTTTTGCGGTCTATGCTAGTTAGTGTAGGAAAAAAATCTCTTATACGTGAGAGAGGGCTTAACGAAAATTGCAGCTAGATTTCTAACTGTTGTTGTTGGCTGTGAACTGTGATTTTGTAGACTAGTTGGCGGCTAATGCTGAGTTGGTCCCCATCACTGTCTCTGTCTCTCTCTCTAGCTCCAGTTCTCTGGGCCTATTTCTCTTTGCGTTGTCGACTAAATTTAGATCGTCGAAGAGCCGCATGAGCCGTTACGTTAATATGTTAATGCAGACTCAGTCGATCAATTAGAGAGTCTTATGGGTCTAAAAATTATTTAAATATTCTTAGGAAAATAAATTTTAATATTATTCTAATTAATATTGTACTCAAGGAACTCGCTATCTAGCTGTCAATTTTTCGTTAGTTGATAAGATTTGTTTTTAATATGTTTAATCATGAGACATATAGGCAGAGAGAAAGACAGAGAAATATATGTATAAACATACATACAATTTCAACCCAATTTCCATTCATGGCCTCTTGATATTTTTTATCGCCCAAACTCCAAAGTCTACCGATTTATAAGTGGTAGATAGTAAAAAGGAAAAATTAAAAAAAAAATATATATTTATTTACTTATTTTTGTCTAGATAAATTTAATGCCGGGCTAGGCAGGCGGAAGCATTTTACATTTGTTTTTATTTTTTTCCATTTCATTTTAATAATAATAAATCGACGCACTTTGACGACGTGTGGGCGTGGCTGAATATGCAAATTAATTACAAGCTCGCAAGCAACTGTAAATGAAAATGAAATGCGTTTCATAATTGCGAAATGCAACGCGGAAGAAGGCAAAAAGAGATGCTTCGCGATGCGTAGATACTTTTGCATCTTCCTTTTTTTATTCACTTTTTTATTTATTTATTTTTATTGATTTTGAGTGACAATCGTGTCGCTTAAATTGTATTCCATGCTACATATAAAGCGTGTTTCTCATGAGGAAGCAACAGCTCCCAATATGGCATGGAAACTGAACGTTATCTTCATTCMTCTGTCCGTCTGTCTGTCTGTCTTTGTTGCAGCTATAAAATCTTGTTTTTTTAATGCAGCGCAAAAGCGTGATATTACATATATATGTATTACATATGTATATCTAGAAAAAAGGCTTGTCCTGGGCACGGACACTTTATTTATATATACATTATATATATATATATATTATTTTCTTATATTTTGAATTCTCACAAAGGGGCTTATTGTATTATTTGTTTGCTTAACATGGCGTGAAAAAATTGTCATAATTACACAAATAAATACATGAGTTCAGACAGATGCCAAAAATAAAGAAAAAAATAAAAATATCGATTGTCTCTGACAAAAGCACTTCATATGCTCCTCAAGTTGCCGAAGTATCTGACGGCTTTTGTATCTGCACAAAGAGCTCTTTAAAACGTGTGTATGTATATGTGTATGTGTGTGTGTGTGAGAGTCTGAGAGTTTGATTTATCGACAATGCCGATGATTTAATAAGCGCTCTTTTATGATACAGTTGATGAACAGCTGTTAGTGATAAATTATATAACTCATAGAACAGTTAAATATGTGGCCACAGCCAATGCGACAGTAAGAGCTCGCTTATATTGCTTTTGGCAGAGAGCTCGCCTGCCTCAAAACTATATTTACCAAAAATATGATATATATATTTACATATATTTCTAAATATATTATATACTTTATTCCAGATGAATTGAATTTTGTTTTTGCCTCGAAAATTTGTTCGATAATTGAAATGCGCATTACAAAACTCACAACGAAATTACGAAATGGCAAAATTTTTTCGAATTGCATATTATATGTGTACCTACATATATATAAATATATATATGTATATATAGCATATATTTTTACGCGCCTTTTAAAGCGCTTAAGCTCTCTATTAAAATGTTTATTTGCAATATTTTTCAGAAAGCTAATGTTGCGTAGAAAGTGCTTTTCCGAAAGGCAAATACAAAAACTAATTAAAATCAAGCCGATAGCTAGCCGGCCGACTCGATGTGGTTTATAGGAAGTGTTTCCGATTTGCATATTAGATTCGAGTACCTCAAGTAAACGCTGTGGGCTACATGAGTGTTGAGCGTTCTATTTGGTTCCGTCTTGCGGTTCAGTTTTGTTGTTGTAGTGGTTGTTGTTGTTGTTGTCACTTGTAAGCAAAATAGTTGATTGTTTTGCGGAACACAAACTTGACGATTGATTGAGTTTGATTAGGCAGGCACATAGATACGTCTACAAACCGAGATACAGCTACATAGGTTATGAAAGTAACAAAATGTTCGAACTGGTTTGATTAGATTTTTTTTTTTTTTTATTATTATAATTTTTGCAAACAAAAGGCGTTTGCTTCCGCCTTGGTAAAGAGTTTTGGTTTTATTTATTTATTTTTTTTTTAACGCTTACAAAATCGAAACGCAGTTGATTGAACGCTTGCAAACAATATTAATATTATTATTGACAACAATGGCAATTAGCTGCGAGTCAAAGATACATTTCACAGATAGGTCTAGGGTATATGTAGATACAGATACATTGACAGCCGATCGGCATTCTTGCGGGGCCTGCACAGGTTCACACTCAAAATCGGCTCAAGTGTCACGGTTGGGGATTATGTCATTGTACCGCCACAACAAACAGTCACAAACTATGCCGCCCCCCCTCCCCCCTGCCAATTGGACCCCACGCTCAGTTCCTGTTAACGCTCGTCATCGTCGTCAGCTTCGTTGACCGGCTGTCATGTGCTTTGAATTTGATTCTAATGCGGATTTGTTTTGCAGTTCTGTTTCAGCTGGTGCTATAATATAACACTGACATTCATTCGACTTCTGAGTATATATATATCGTATATCAGTATATTGTAAACATAAATAAATACTCGAACTTATTAATTCGATTAGATTTCATGTAATGCGAAGCTGCAAGCATTTGCTTAATTACAGTGCTGGAATTTTCGTTGAAAGTACTTAAGATCGTATAGAAATTAACCGTAAATCGGTACATTTTAATTTCTGCATTGTAAGAATAGAAAGTTGTCTTACGCAACGAAATGAACCTTGAAGTGTTTTGCCGTCCACATGATTTACGCTTTCTTGCCGTAAGCCAATAAATAATAAATAGCCAACTTGTTATATTACTACCGGGCATATTATGTTATGCTATGCTATAAACCGCACCTGAACTCGATAGGCCCAACCCAGCCGGAGCAGTTGTGGGAAACGATTTCGTTTATAATTGAGCTGACATTCTAATTAAAGTTGGCGACGAAAATAAAACTAAACTTTGAAAGTAAATTCCATAACTTGAATGAGGAACAAAGAGTCTTTCAGCACTTTGTAGACAATTTGTGTGCTAGATACATTTGTATCTCAGTTCAATGACTCAAAGCGCGTAGCTCTTATAGTTTTATCATTTGTCATGCTAAACATCTATATCAATTGATCGAAATTAGCTAAAATATGCATTTGTAAAATTCCTTAGGAGTTCATTTCAATGTAATTGTGTATCTGTGTGTGTGTGAATATTTGTGTCTCATATGACAAAATTATGAATATAAGTCGCTTATTAGCGAATTGTTTGTGCAACCGGTTTTCGCATTACTTTGACAAGCGGGCGAAGGAACAGGCCCGTATTACCAGCTGCTTACGTAGCTATACAAATGAATATGTATATCAACATATTTATATAYATATATTTATATAAAATATTTGAAGAGAGATTGGCGAGATACAAGCGAATACAAGTAAATAACCCTAAACAATAACATGTAACATCATTTTAGGAATGATAACAACAATAATTAAATTATCACAAAATAAACTGAAATGCTACTCATGGCTTAATTGAAATTCCCAAGCGGTTCTATCAAGAAAGGAAAATGTTTGCATAC